CCCTCCAACACTAGCCCCACCCCCCTCACTTAATCCTGTACTGCTTCCTATATTGCAGCAGCACCTCCCCTCCTGCCACGGCTGTTGGGAGAGGAGTATCCTGCCCTGCCTCTCAGCCAACCAGCACCGGGCAGGGGTGGGGTCTCCTTTGGCCGTGGAAGAGCAATTCCCTGTATGGCAGGAGGGCTGCGTGGAGTCTCCTCCAGCCATGGAAGGGTGTTTCTGTGTGGCGGGAGGGCCACGCGGAGCAGCTCTACGTGGCCCTCCTGCCACACAGGGAAGCACTCTTCCGCAGCCAGGAGGAGACCGTTGCCCTGAGCGTCTCAGCTAAACAGCTGTGGCGAGAATGGTGTACCCCAGCCGCAGCATGGTCTGGCAGCGGACTGTGGCCCAGCGGTTGGGAATTGCTGCTTTAAGACACCACTCTTTTTGGAGGGGGAAAGAAGCTAACAATTTAACTAAGCAACTAGCTTTTATCTGGCATTTATAGTCCCTGTAGTCTCTAGACACGTTCTCCCTTTCTGCCCATTCTTTACCAACCAGTTTAACCTCAGTTTTTTAGTTCATATCTCTCTTCCTGCCTTCTGCTATGGGGTTAACCGTGGTTAATGAGACAATATTGAACACAAGGTATCCTATGCATGCAGCAGTTTAACTGCATACAGCTCTTGCCAGGAGTAAGTAGTTTTTCCCTATTGTACATGGGACATTTGAGGGATACACGTTTTTAAATGGCAGGTATCAAACAGCATATCTATTGTAAATTGATTAAATTGGTGAGCTTTCTAGAAGTGGACTAGAAGGTCAGCTCTGAATAAAGTGATGGGTACTTTGCACTCGAGGTACAGGAGAGGTTCAAAGGCTATTAACTACTTTCTGAATCACTCCTTACAGAATTCAGTAAGCACAGCAAGGCAGGAGCATGAAACCAGCACACATCTTCCTCAAAACCCTCAAATTTAGTTTTTGCACCAGACAGCAAGCTGAAAATGGTTGGTGAGCCATGAAGAGAGAGGGTTTGACAAGTATTTCAGGTACTAAAGGTTCCCTGATGCTGGTTTTGTTTTCATATTTTCAAGTGTTTCTCTGTAGTGTGGGGTTCCTCTCCCCCAGCAATCAACAGCAGAAACTAACAAGTTATACAAGGATAATAGTGAAACCAACTATACAAAAAAAGCTGTCAAATGCCCAAAGTAAACAAAATGAAAAAGTCCCTAGGATAAAGACAATGGATAGATATGTCAAGTTGATAATTTAACGATAGTTTAAACAACAGTTAGGAGAAAAAGAGGTTAGTTTTCTACCCCATTTTTGTCTTAGGAACTATTTTTTATTTTGAAGGATAGTTGCATAAAACCTCTCTTCCTTTTTTAAATTCACACACTAGTTAGAAATGTGATTAAAAAAAACCAAACACGTATGCAGCTATATTAGGTGCTTATCTTATAAAAGTGGATCCTAGAAATCCACTTTAAATTTAAATTCATGCCCCTTGAATATGTCCTGCATTTCTCTCTCCTCAGGCAATTAAAATAGATTGGTCAGTTTCCATTTTTAACTTATAGCTTCTAAAACTTTCCACTTTCGGGTTATCATGCATTAGCAACAGACTGCACTAGCATAAATGATTGAAATAATTTATCTACAAAAAAAAGTATTAATTGGGATAAAAATTCCTGAAAACATTTCTATTTGTTTTACATTACTGTAAGATAGAAACTGAGATTTTTGAACGAACATGGACCTGGCAGTATCACATTAAATATTATTAGCATACTTACGTTTAAGTACATGTACTTAGTTATGGATGTAAGTCATTTTTTTATTTAAAGAATGTTAGCTTTTTGTCTGTGGCTTCGTTTGGCTTGGTGAAGTCTTTGGCACAGGAGATCCATGACCACCTACCTTTTTCTGGTCAGTTCATTGTTCTTATCCAAAAGAGATAAAGAGCGTTTCTTCCTTCGGTGTCTTTTCTGCGATGGTGTTTTGGGCATCAGCTCAGGTTCAGCACTTAAGTTGCTGTTCAACAAACAGAACACAAGAGACACAATTTGTTTCCTTGCCTGAATGTGACAGTGTTCACCCCATACCAGCAACATGTTGTTCATTAAGCAAGGACAATGAGATGCTGTCAGTCTTTCCGATCAGCAGGTTAGAGACATTTTAGCAAGACCGCAGCCACTAAACAGTATACGCTAAAACAAACAGCTCAACATACAGATAAGGGAAACGACTAGTAAGCGGAGGCAAAAAGAAACGTTATAGAAGCAACTGGGAAAGCCAGACTCCTCGACAGCCGTTAGTTTGAAATCGCACTGGCATCATTATCACTAGCCCCGGAGACATCTTAGTTGCGTGCGTAACATCTCCATCCTACAAAAGCGATGAAAAAGCGTCAGGCACGGGCTGCTTGTCTCAGGGACACGCCAAAGGGACCCCTGGCACTGACGGCTCAGAGAGAAGGGGCAGCCTGCCAAGGGGCCCATCTGAGACAGCAGCCCTGGCAGCCCCTACCCATCAAACATCTTCATGGCCTCCTCCTCGATCTCCCGCAGCCAGGCCAAGTGCTTGTGCTCGGCACGAGACAGGAACTGGGAGAGCTTCAGGCGACAAACCTCCAGCAGGTGCGTGGGGCCCTCTGCCATGGCTGGGCCTGACACACCTGGGAGGGGGAGGGAAGGAGAGTTCATTAGCACCTGCCCACAGCACCAGGCCCCTCACAGCCACCCGCGCTCGCATGAAAACACCCCGCCCCCCACCTCAGCTGGTGGGTGGGTGGAGGGAGAGGGGGGGGACACGCAGCGCGCGCACAGAACAGCTCCCCCCCCCGCGCAGGTACCAACCGTCCCTCAGTCCCAGCCCCAGCCCGGGTTCTCCTCTGCAGCAGGCACCAGCGAGCGCCTCCGCCCAGACAACCTCCAGACCACAGAGAGGACGGCTAGAGCGGCCTCTCTCAGGCAGCGCCCCAAGCCTGCAGCCCCGCGAAGCGGTCCTGGCGCCCCACTTCCGCTATGTCATCCGGGTCCGCACCAATCACAAAGCGCCTTGCCCGAGCGCCGTATTAATTGGTTCCCGCTTCCGTCCATCACGGCAGGGAAGGGAGGGGGTTCGCTAGAAGCTCCGCCCATACCAGCGAGCTCCTCTTCCAGAGGTTGATTCCTCCGCATCATAGGCTCTACGCGTGTGTGTGTGGGGGGGGGGGGA